TGTGGTGCGATTCGGTGGTACGTCGCCAAACTGACATCCCGTAGGACACCAAACCTCGCGAGCCAACTGCGTGTTCTGGAGATACTCGCCCAGAGATTTCTTGGCCGCTGCTCGGTACAACGCTAAATTACTAACCTGGTTTGTCCTACGTCGGGTCAGCTTGCCTTCGTCTTTATCGCTGTATGTGCAGAAGAGATGAATAGACACGGCCAGCTTCAGAAATGAGTCCCCTAGCATCTCCAGCCTCTCCAGATTAAATGCATCTCCGCTGTGGGTGGTGGTAATAGCTTGAAGAACGAGAAAGGAGTCGGGGTGGTTAGCAGATGGTGGACTGTGAGGGAACATCGACCTGATGCCGGGGAAAAGTGCATCATCTTTTTCAGGGTCCCAAGTATCGTCTTCAACCTTCATGGGCGCTTCTCTTGAGCCCTCTTCAGCTCCAATGGGAGGAAGGGTTGATTCATCTGTTGTGTTGCGTACACCAGTAACCATGGCCTTGAGATCGTCAACGAGAAGGAGGGAGGTGACACGCTGAAGAATAGATGGTAGAATCTGAGACACGCTGAGAAGGGAAGCGCGAATGGGAATCTGGTCACACAACTCTGGAACAAGACAAATCACATCTCGCTTGTTTTTTGTTCCTCGTTTTTGGTCCACAAGAAAATTCACTCTACCGGAGAGCTCTTTCACTTCAACAAGAGGTTGATGCTTGTTCGCAATGCATCCCCTTTCTCCGTAATTAAGGCGAAAATATTCTTCATAAGTGTTGCCCTGCGACTTTTCTGGGAACGGAGACATCGGAGTCAAATCGCCACGAACATTCAAAACAGCGTACTTTTGGGGAGATTCAACGTAGTTTTTTGTCACCGCTGAGTCTACGACGATGGGCTGATTTCCACGGCTTTGTTTGGGTGCACGCGAAAGTTCTTCTCTCATGCAATCAAAGTCAATACTCCTTCCTGAAGCCTTCAACATAACAATGAAGTAACCATCCACACTTCCTGGTGTGAATTCCACAGGAGAGCGTAGAACGTGACTGAAGAGAAAGAGATGAAACTTGCGAAGAATGTCCAACTCTTGTTTAGTGATGTTTACACGCAAAGAAGATCTGTGACACTGCAAGGATACCGTGACTTCGCCATAGTTAGGATACAGTTTGAACGATCGTATCTGAAGAGTGAAAAAATTTCATTGTAAAATGTAGGGCAACATCTGCAGTCAAGCCCGAATTCAGGTCAATATTTGGAGCAAGTCTTATCGTTTAAGGAATAGAACCTCATAACTGTTATTTTACGAAGGGCCGACTGTTGCTAAGGTTTACAGGTCAAAAAAACTGACTGCCTGTTACTACGCACTCTCAGTGTCCTGCAAAGTAAGAATCGTTCCTATTTTAAACTGCGAGGTCCTTGATAGTGTGTGTGGTAAAAGTGGTATATGTTTTAATCGGGGACCTTTAGTAGCTAGTGAGAATTCAAAGTAAAACAACCAAACTGCCTAAAGCGCGGGAAAATGCAGACGATCAAGTCGTGATTGGTTTTAGTTTTGCAGCTGATCGGCTGAAAGAGAGGTTCAAGTTTTCTGGACCAATCACAGAGCGACACTGGATTGAAAATTGCTCAATAGAGTTACTTGACAACAAATGAAATATTAATAATCAAGTACTAACCCAAGGAACTCTTTTCGTTGTCAGCATTCCAAACGTGCAAGTTTTATCGAGGAACAGTGGCTTACTAACGACAAACTCTTGTGGCTGAGTAAGTTTAGTGACTTGTATGGTGATGGTCGTGAGGAACTGGGGCTGACCATCCTGTACCAAGCTGCTGACAAATACTTCAGGAACCTGGGCAAGAACAAAACATCAGGGCTCAGTTGTGTAAAGGGCCGATAACGCTATCCAACGGATAAATCGCTATCCAGCCGATAAGTGATAGCAAAACATACTGCGTTATCCACCGGATAGAGTTTTATCCGGTGGATAGTGGTATCCAACCTCAGAACAACTGGGGCCAGGTAAAGAAGGTGTAAATATTTTGCCAAGAGCATGAACTGAAGGAGAAACTTGCCCTCAACGTAGGGATTCGAGCATGGGTTTCATGGTCGAACGCTCTGCCAACGGCGCTACAGAAAATAAGCTGTATACTCAGTCATACGAAATCTTTGGGGTAATCTGGGGTGCACCTTTGTTTTGCGTTGCGAAGTTAGGCGTGCAAATTATTTGAATTTAATGCAAATTTGTGGGTGCGAGATAAGGATCTAATAAAAAACCTCCAAACAATACCCCCAGCGCCCAATTGTTCGAAGGCCGATTAGCGCTAACCCGGGGTTACTGAGTTTTAATCTGGGTTTCTTTAGTCCCTTCTTCAAAGGCCTATTTCAGATAATTTCTTCAATTCTTTTTAGAACACCCAAGCATCAAATTGTAGGCAAAAATAAATATACTGAATATGCCTTTAAAGCTTTCAGATTTGAGGTCAGATTTCACGCTAACCCTGGGTTATCTTAACCTAGCTTTGAACAACCTGGCCCGGATGTTTGCCTCTCTTATTCCGCTTGGTGTTTCACTTTAGTTTCAACCCGAGGTAAATCTGCGGCTATGATGGTCAACTTAACCTATGTTGGGCTTCTCGTTGGCTGACAAGGGTTGCTTGGGAAATTTAATTTTGCTGTGACGTATTTTTATTCATTGGAAAAGTGGCAGAGTCTTCCCTAAATTGAAACAAACTAGCAAACAGAAGTCTCAAGTTCCTTTTAAGTTTAATGATTTAGAGAAACCAAAAATGTTAATAAATTTCAACTAAAGAACCAAGTCTGCATTTTAACCCTGGTCTGTAGTCTTCAGTCTGCATTTTACCCTCAGTCTGCATTTTAACATTGGTTTCACACTGACTGTAATTTGATGAGAATGGGGCCAATAAAAATTATTCAGGGAGAGGCAGACCCTCTAGCTGACTGACCAAATTTATGAATAGACAGTGCATTGTGAGCAACATTGTACTGAAATGTAAGTTAACAGTTTAATATGTAAGTGTAAGTCACAGGCCACATTTGTGACATTCAACTGCTTACCTTTCTCATATACTGTCGTCTTCTCTTCTTTGTTCCAGCTTTTGGTTTCTTTCCGCCAAACTCAGCTGCTGCTTCTTCTTCTTCCAGACCACTTTCCTCGTCAGATAAAGTCTGCTTTGGTAACAGGTCATCATCAAGTTCACCAATCTTGTGAAGCAGCTCACAGGCTCTGAGCGCAGCGACCATCTTGGCTTGGCTCTTACTTGGCATTGGTTCACCCTGATGAAATGCAGAGAGAGATGATTCTGATGTGAGCGATTTACATGTAATTTCTCCTTGTAATTCCAATATCTTGCATTGCAAACAGGTTATGAGAACCTATAAGCTTATCACCTTTAAGGTTTTGTCTTGATATAAAACCATATTCTCCTCTCCAATTTACAAGGAAATGTATGGCAGTTTGTAGAGAGAATCTTACAGAATCTTGGAGAGTTACTGGGGTAATTCCCAAGAGCTAACAAACAATTCTTGTGCTAAATTACAATGCTTTTCCTTGAAACTTGGTTCAAAGAATGAGAGCAGTTTTGAATTGAGAGTCACAAAACCAAAACCAGAGTACCAATAACCAATCAGAAGACAGATAACCATTATCATTAGCCAATGAGAATGACAGTGAAAATAAGCATATTTCTGTGGTAGGTTTTTTATTTCTTTATTTAAAAAAAGAGAAGTCCTCCAAACTCACTATTATATCTTCATGTATTGGACAGTTTCTTGGAAGTGTTAGTTTACACTTGTAACCATCTTTCCCAATTTCTTTGACCTTGTAAACTGGCTTGGGCCGAGTAAACTGGTCTCCTGGAAGCTTTGAACAGTACCTGAAATGACAAAAGTAGAAATATTGATATAATTCTAGGTTTATAAAGTTTATAATAAGTAATTAATCTTCTCTATATTAAATATAAGACCCTGAGTTAAAATTTAAAAGAGCATAACTTTTATGTTGATGTGGTGTAAGAGCTTTTAAAGAGGCAGTGTAATCCCTTATTTTGAACTCAACAGGTACAAAAAAAGTCATCAAACAGGTAGACTTATCCTTTTACCTGCAGAAGTTTCACAAATTTCAAGTGATTTTTGGTGAAAAATAAGAGGTAATACAAGCAGTAAATTGTACCAGTTGCCTCCAGAAAAGGAGAACAATGGAGAGCTGTCAATTATTAATCAGTTTGTTGTTGCTACGGGGTGATCTTGAGTTTTGTGGGGAAGCAAGCTGGCTTTACAGCAATACTCATGGTAAATACAAATCACCCCTTTCACAATAGGAGCCCAAGTTTGTTACCCATAAATGGCACATCTTCCTTTTTTAGACTTACATTACTCAACAATAAACAACTCAACCAATACCGGTAATCTTAAATCTAAAACCACCTCAGAATTGGAAGTTAATAAATTCCTTGCACTTACTTTGAAAGTAGAGAAACACTACTGCTCATAGTTACTCTAGCTCCCTTGCCATTTACTGGTATGTACGGCAGCAAGAAATCTGTGTCTACTGATTCATTACACTCCTCCACTGATGGCTCCAATCGATCATGGCATCTTTCCAACAAGATTTCCTCAATTGCACGCAACATCTAGGATATAAGTCATTTTTAAAAAGCTTCCTAAGAGTATACATTTGTTACTGTCATTCACTCAGGTTACTGATATGTGTTTATTTGCAATATTCAAACCAACTTTCCCAGCTCAGCTTAAAGCTGGTTTAAATGGCAGCCTGTATAAACAATCTAAAAGGCCAGACTATGACTGACATCTACATTCCCTATTCTTTGCAAGAAATGCATGGTTTCCTTAATGTCCCCTGCCAATCATTACAGAGGAGATGAGGCTTACAGCTTGTTATCCTTTTTCGAGTTGACTAGAATGTCTAACTATTTGCAGATGTCTTAGCAAAGGCAGCACACTTCTCAGTTATTCTAAGACCCTAAGTGTTGGTTCAGTCTGGGGCTTGAACCCTCAACCTCCCACACCACAGTCTGGTGCTCTACAACCTCTGCTAAACAATATCAATGACAGTCACCAAAATACAGGATAGGTATGGATTTTTACTGACTTTATTACATTAAAAAATGTACCTCCAATTCATTCTCTTTTTCCACTTGCTCTTTTTCATCCACCAGCATGTAGTACTTGGAACCCTTGGCACGAGCTCTGCCCTTTGACTGTACATAGGAGCGGTAATTCTTTGGGAAATCAAACCTGCAGACAACATTGCACTTGGGAATATCTAATCCCTCCTCAACAACAGAGGTGGCTATCAGCACATTGAATTCATGTCTTTTCTTGTCATTTCGGAACTTGCGCAGCACTTCCTCCTGTTTCTTAAAATTCATCTCTGCATTACTGGAGTAGTTAACCTTTGCACCTGTGCCATGACCAATCACAAAGTTACTTTTGATGAATGAGAGCTCCTGATCTAGTTTGGCAGCCATGTTAAGCTGTTTACTGAGGATCATTGCTGTGTATCGTCTTTCAACAAACACAATGGCACAGAGGGTCTTGTCCTCTTCAGATGCTGCAAAATAACCAAACTGGGGATCACCAAGCTGTTTTGCAGAGTGGCATTCAAAAACCACTCTTGCACATTGAATTCAGAAAACAGATTTCAAGAAAGATCCAATTTAAAAGCTTGCTTTTGAGTGTGTAGGGATTAACAAAAACACAAATATAAACCTACAAGATCATTATTATTTATATCATTATTAACAATTGGCTAAATCTTCCTTAAGGTGAAGCTGGGTAGCATATGTAGCCATGTTTGATCCTTCTGCCCTTGTGATTGTTCTTCAACTGAAAGCCATTTCTTGATTGAATGAGGAGATGGTTACAGAAGTTCAAAATGTCCTCTAAATATTGATCTCCCCCTGAGAGATTATTATGGTTGCTATTATCATCATTTTTGTTTTTAAATTTCCTACTATAAAAATTGTAATCATTATGGTGCTATTATTATCATCAACACTTTTTTTTATTAGCACCACTATTATCAATATTAGTGCCATTAAATATTATTATTGATTTTATTTCTGTTACTATGATAGAGGGTTCCATTTCACCTCTCACTGCTAAGAGCAAACCAAAACAAATTTCTCCTCACAATAACATTACAATTCAAATATGAAGGAGCTGAGAAGAGAGAGAAATAATGGGCAGTGGATGTCTTGAAATTTAACACAGAGTCTCAGGGTTGAAATTTTTAGGAAGGTTTGGCGAGATCTTAGGCATGAAAGGGTCAACTTGTGATAAGAAATGCAAAAATATCCACTTTGCTAATCTTCTGTTTTAGTCTCCATGAAGGATATAAAAAAGTAAGTTTCATAAATAAAGCAGTCAGCAGAGTATTCCTTACCTTCATGCTGTGAGTTAGCAAACTCCCTGAAAACACTCAGAAGTTTTTCAAGTTTAGGCATGAAGTAGCAATGTTCACTGTCCTCAGACCCATCATTTTCAGTAAAATTACAGTAAGTTCTTCGCAGTTGACGCAGCTGGTTGGCACTACACTCACATGCTCTGTCTACAAGAAAAGATCAAGGTTTATTAGTGCATTCCATTCCAGTTGATCAAAAGATGCCAACAAAGGCATTTTTATCCATCCCAGGTTAATTTTGCTTGAATTGGAATAATGCAGTCTTATGAGCAGAGAGTTTGGCACACTCTGATTCTTTTCCAATGACCCTCAGAGTGACTAGCATCCAATTTCTTCTTACAATATAACGCCAGCCTGAATCAACCAATAAGGTAAGAATATAGGAAATGATCACCACCTAAAGAAGCTGTTGATTGTTAAGTTCTCCTTGTCAGCACATTAAGAAATATATAGAGAACAGTTTGGAGAACATGTATACTGATGTTAGGATGTAATGATTTAAAGCAAAATTTAAAAACAATCCTACATGGCCAAAATGTTTGGAAATGGAGGCATGAGATTTTTTCCCTTCTTTTTGGAAACTAATATTTGGTTCATGTTGACTGTATTATGATTTTAAAAACTTGACTTGAACTTGGGGCATAGTTACATTTATCTCTAAAACTGAAACTGTACCATACCTAGATCCTCGATTAAGTATTCCGCCACTTTAAATGCAGCCCAAGGGCCCAATTCATCCAATGTCTCCTTACATTCCATCAAGGCCAACTTAGCATTCCGGTGCGCATGTTCATCACAGCTGGACACCCGAGGGTTGCAAAGAAGATCAATTCCTTGTGTTAAGACATCTGACAGTTTCTTGATCAAAATGTTCACATTTTCATCAGTGCTCTGGCTTGGGTAAACAAGGACCAGTTCTTTGGGTTTAGCAGCATATTTTTCAACATCATCATCTTGACTTGTTTCGCATGTAGATCTTAATGTGCGTTCCAGCGCTTGGATCTCCGATTCAATTTTATAAGGTTTTACTTTTCCATTTATTATCGAGGCAGTTAAACCCATAACTTTGGGTAATGGGCGCTGTGGGCAATTGCTGAAGCACTGCATTATCTGTCTGTAAGGATGATTCTTCGTGGCGTGGTGGCATTCATCAAAGATCAAGAGATTCACTTGTGAAAGAAGTATGAAGCTATGTGACAGCAGGTTGAGGAATATTTGATATGTCATGACCAGAACGTTGAATGTATTGAACTCATTTTCCCAAGTGGGCTTCTTCCAGAAATCTACTCCCATCTCTCCAACATAATGCCTGACTTTCAAGTCAGTATGTTTTGCAATTGCTTTTGCCTGTTGGCTGGCTAGTGGAACTGGAAAAAAAGGAAGAACAAGTTAGTTACAAGGGGAGTAGATTTCCTCTAGAACCCTCAAGCTCCTTTCGACTCAAGGAAGTCAGAATAACAGGACATGAAAGACTCTGAAAAAGATGAATTTAAATAAGCTCTCCAGCAAGCCCCTTAGGATACAGTGTTTATGTTTGATGATATAGACTATATGCTCGAATCCTGGGAATCCTTATTTAACTCAGTGCTTGAATAGCATTGTCCTTGGTGTGAGAAATGTGTGAAACAGCTTCAAGAAGTTCCTTGAATGTCCAAACCCACTTTAGATCAACTGCATCTCAGAGATACCTATCTCAAAGCTGCAAGGATTTTATGTTCTTCTGATGACTGAAGAAAGTATAAAGTCGAGAGAAACAAAGCTGTCAGAGTCATTTGTAATGCTAAATGTGAATATTTTAATGATACTTTTGATGCCAACAAGAACAATTCCAAGTCAATGTGGAAGACAATTAAATCTTTAACAGGTGGCAAAAAGAATGCAAAATCTTTTAGTTGCTTCAAAGATGGTGACTGCATTACTGATGACAAAAAAGGCATGGCTGATCTATTTAGCAGACATTTTGCATCCATGACTGGAAGTTTAAGATCTACTTTGCCAAGTGTCAACTGGAATTTTGACAACCTACACAACTTTGTCAATTCAAGAAAAAACCCTGATGTGCCATTTCCTGTTCCTACAGTAACACCATCCATTGTCAATACAAATTTTTTGAGTATCAGTCCTGATCAAGCTGTTGGTATTAATTGTAACAGATTACAATTATTGAGGATAGCAGCTCCTGAAATAGTGCCTTCTGTTGCCCGGCTTATAAATTTTTTCATTAAGAATGGAGTGTTCCTTAAGTGATGGAAGAAAGCATAAGTCACTCCTTTGTTCAAAGGTGGCAAAAAAGGTGATCGTTCCAATTTCCCACTATCAGTCCTTCCAGTGCTTTCAAAAGTGGTTGAATGTTATATCCATGACTGTTTCTATGCCAGTCTGTCTGAGAACAACCTTATCTGACCATGGTCAGTCTAAATTTAGAAAACAGCTCAGCTCTGATCCTATTTAATAAACAGCAACAAGTTGTCTCTATTGATGGCAGTGACTCTGAACCTTCTGTGATTAAGCATGGTGTCCCTTAGGGAGGTATTCTGGACCCATTGTTTTTCATTCTTTTTATCAAAAACTTGCTTTTCTATGGGTTATCTTCCCAAATAGATCTATATGCTGATGATACCACTTTAACATCATCTGCTCAATATAAAGACACTTCATCTTTCTATTCTTATGTTGAAAATGTTTGTAAAAAACTTTCTCAACACATGAAGTAATGCCATTGATATTATGAGAGCATGATGAGACCTGTATTAAATAAAGTTGCTGTTGTTTGAACCAATTGTAAAAAGGACCTTTTAGGTAGAACGCTGAGATTATAGAAGCATGCAGCTAGACTTGTTATGGATGCTGATTCTTAGGTCTCTTCTGTCAGATTATTAGATGATTTAAGTTGGTTACCTTTTCATGAGGAGGCTAAAATTTCCAAATATTTAATTGCATTTAAGAGACTTTGAGGAGAATCATTTGCATATATTACTAGCCTTTTAACATATAATAGTGTTCTTCACTCTTGTAACACTGGGAATGCAAACTATAACTTAGTATGCCCAAAGTTAAAACGTAAATTAGTTGGCGGCAAAACTTTCAATGTTACCGCATGTCAACTATGGAACAGTTTATTTATCACCTTATGACAGAAGACATCTGTACAAAGTTTTAAAAATGCCTTAAGGCAATTTTTTCTCAGAAGTCAACAGAATTTGAATCATTTTATAGTTTAATAGGTTCCTTTTTACAGTTTCATGACTCTGTCATTTAATCCTTGAGATCTACTTTATGTTAGATTTTATCATAGGATTTTTAATTTTTCAACTGTTCTTTTATTTCTTTAATAATGTATTTATTTTTACTTACTGATATCTAAATTTGTATTAGTAATATCATATATATTCTATAAGGGCCTCAAGTTTATTAGCCTTTTGGCTATTAAGTGCTACCCTCTTTAAAGAAATAAAGATTTTACTAGAATGTAAACCACATTCTTGATCTTATATTTTAGTTTCTGGCATCGAAAGTTCAAATATATCATAATCAGACCAAAACAAGGAAAGATCTATGATCATTTCCTCTATTTCCATTGAATTGTATTTAAACCGTATGCGAGGACCGCCACTACCCCTCTTCACAACCCCGGCCCGACCCGCGCTGAGATATCGTACCCACTCCCCCGAGGTAAAGCCGATCTCAAAAAGACGAAACATACATAGATACCTGTATTTACAAGGAAGAAAGTTCTTCGCCCGCCGTCTTTATAGTTTCCTCTTACTTCATGAGCGAGTTCTTTTATGAGCATGACACTTATAAACGTTTTGCCAGTTCCCGTGCCCAGACATACGATGGTGTTCCTTTCCTTCGCCCGCTCCAGAAGCTCCACTTGGTACGGCCGAGCTGAAAAATTCTCAACGGTTTCTCCACCTGTTTTGCTTTCGGAAGCCTTTTCCATGGTTTCACTTAATAAAATTACAAATGATGAAAAAAGCTTGAGTGTCAATTCAAACTACGACGCCCTACGTTGGAAATCCTCTCACAAAGAAGGGCGATTCAACCGGGAAATTTATTCAGACATAGAAGGTTATTAAGGAAATTATAGGAATTATTAGAGTGGTCGAAATAGGGACAAACAGTTGATCGCCTCCGATCAAGAAATTGCATTCGCTTACCTGATAATTCCTTCACCAAAAAATAAAAACTTTCTTCGACGGTGGAATATTCTCAGCCGAAGATAAAAAGTGAAAATGCTTCGCTAAGCAAAATTAATATTACGATAAGTCACGATTTCTTTGACACCTTGCCTTATTTGGTTATTTGCTTAATTAACCCTACAACATAGAACAACAGGAAACCGGCCATGGCATTATTGTGTTTTCCTAGAAAGTACCAAGCATCGATATCCGGGAAAACAACGATTACGTCAAACAAGAGATTTAAAAAAAAAAAAAAAGATATGTAAATATTCCACGTGGCTGGCTTTGAGTTGTAACACTTTCCTCAAACAATGTCACGCGCGCTAAAGGAAAATTGTGGTTTCATTTGACTATGGAACTCAACCATGCATATTGATTAAATGGATTGTTTAAATATATCTTTCATTTTAAAAAGAAAGCGTCCCATATTTTTCGGCGCTTGATGATATCAGTTAGTCAGTTAAGTATTCTGTATAATAAGAGGAAGGCGGATTGTTTCCAGGAAAATTTTCAAAATCGTGAAATTTTTGAAGCATGAGGGCAAACCTTTGAAAGCATTTTTACAAGGGAAACAAGATCGATGTTTAATTCGGGCATAATTGAATATTTTTTCCCAAAGTATTGGGCACTCTACTTAGCTGTAAGTCCGTGACCGGTGTTTCAGCGAACACCTCTTTAATCTAAAGGGTTACGCCTAAAGTTTGCCCTTTGGAATCTTGTTAATCTTCTCATAACGTTACGAACTAATTTTTTTGTCTCCTTTTTTAAGGCAAAGGTATTTTCACTCGGTACAAGAAGATATTCAAAGTATTACGAAATGGCTCTGCCATAAATACGCTGCATGTTTATGCTAGAATTTTCTCTTCCATGTTAGACACATATCGGCGAATTTCATTCCAAGTGCCACGGAAATTCTAAGAAAGGATTGACGTCAATGACTGAGGACCAATTAATATTTATCACCCCAAAGGTGATGATCAAGTAGTATGTAGTCGCCATAACGAATTTTAAACTCTGACGTTTCGAGCGGCTTTTAACACTCCACTAACTTTTTTATCTTTATAAAAATAATGAAGAAAGAATTCTATCTAAAGAAATCTAATCAACAGATCGCACTTTCTATCGGTTTACTGGCGTAATGACCCAGGCGGAAAAGCTCGGAAAATTTATAAACCACGAGCCGGAGGAGAGTGATTAATCAACTTTTCAATGGCGCTCGTAGCCCCTCAGTTCCTTTATAAATTGTACATATATCATACAAATATGTTCCGATGCGCATTACAAATGATGAAGATAACTTTTCTCGTGGTGGGGGCTTCCGCACAAGTTAACTTTCTCTTCAATCTTCTCGCATACAACTTTCACAGAAACTTATGGAGATTGAATAGAGGGAGGCAGAGGAATGGTCGAACCCTGCAGCAAATATGTAGGAGCTAAGAATAGGAGATTTTCTCGTCTCTCACAGGGAGAAAGTGAAATTGGATTAATAAATTTTGGTGATTTCACATTGTTTTGCAGAAGACGGCTAAGAAATGTACAAGGTTAAAAACGCACGTGTTGAACTATTGTCCTGCCCATGAGATTTCTTTTTTTTTGCCACGTCCTCGTTGCCGTCGTGATTTGCGAGAGTCCCCCAGTTATAAAACGAGCCGTACTCCCCAAGGCGGCAATATATCATTTTTGCCATTGATTTCTTTATCCATGAGGTGTATGCACAATGAAGTATGTGGCTGTACGGAAATCTTGTTACTTAATGTAGCAGGAAAATCAAGGTCGTCGAGAAAATTTGCCGCATTTCTCTCTCCTTAATGCAAACAAAAGTGACTACGTTTTCTTAACCAAACGATGGTGAAAAAAGGAACATTGAAAGCAAAGTTCACGTGCAATACTGACTCAAACGCAAATCACGTGCCTAAGAAAACGCACGAGTAAACATGTAACATGCAAACGCATTGTCTTACACTCGGATGTGCGCTGCGTTTTCAGGTGTGTACCTGAGTGAACACAACCTCAAACTTGCGGGACAACGCACGGTGAAAATGGTTTATGTTTAAAGCAAGATGGCGTCTTAGTTTCACAGTTGTTTCTGGCAAGCATTGGCAAAGAGTGTCCTGCACAGTACCTTGTGCTCACAGTACCGATGCAACACTGTGCGACGAACGGTGTGCAGACTACCAAAACAAAGAGACTTAAAACTACAAAGAGGTACGTTTCACGGTTTAGAGTAATCGGAAAAATGCACATCTAGTTTAAACAGAGATTTCTCTCAAGCTACATAAGCTTTCACTTCCTCTCACTTTGCGCAGGCGAAGTAGCTATGACACTGTTAAGTATCAACTGAAACTGAAATAAGCGTGTAAGTCTCCTGGCCTTTAATAACAACACCACAAACCAAATTCGAATGAAGATTTATTGTAGCCGACGTGCTTGGTACTAAGAGTGTGCATACAAACAGCGTGGGTTGAAACAAAAACGGTAACAAAGCAAAAAAGTTACAAGTTGCGACTAAGGTAAATTAGAGTAAGGAAATAACAAAACTGCAAAACGAGGACTGTGAAGTACACTTACATTGTTTCGGTCAGAGAAAATTTCTGTAAAGCGGACTGCGAATAACGCGAAGAGACTTGCAAGAAACTAAACAGAACTGCGCCAAGCGCGGACCAAAATGAACTGCCCAAACTGTACTACAAAAAACTACGATATAAAAAATACGCTAGAACATGCGGAAAATAAAATTATAGAAAGGCGCTAATGAAGATAAAACAGCACGGAAACGCTAACGAGGGCGCGAAAACTGACAGAAAGGGATAAACACCTAAATTAACACGAAAAAAAAAAGACTAAACAAATGGACGAAAAGAAGTATAAACTAATTTGCGTACGCAAAGGAAAAACAAATTACGCAAGAACGAATAATAGAAAAAATGTTACACTTGGATCTTACATCAACGGACTAAGATGAAATGCACGTCCGCCACGTTGGCGTCCAACATCGTTATTTTAAACCAACAGATTTTCTGGGAAGTAACGAATAAAAGTCACACGGTTGATAAATAGCAGAAGCGTTAATTTTAATCAGATACAGAAACCAAACTGGGGTTCCTCCTGTGAGAGCATATTTCGGTCTCTGAAGAATTTAAGCGAACATGTTCGCTTATCCTCCCTTGACAGCTTAGCTCACCATATGTCACGGAGAGCGAGTAACGAAGCCATTTGTAACACAAACTCAAGCAAATTCATGCTAAATAAAATTACCATTTATTATGGAATTACGCGGCATTTTTTAAAGAGTAATAACAAACAGCCCACATGAATACAACATCAGCGCTTTCCTTTATTCTCTCATTCACGTGTAGTTATTTTACACAGGACTTTCCATTTCATTTCAGCTACACTATTTACAACTGCAACACATATCACGATTACCAAAATCGGTCTTGCATTCTTACATGTACTCTTCTTGCTACACTTAAAACTGGTAAAAAACATAAATCTTTAAAAGGAAATGCCTGATTCCCAGGAAACTAAAATTTTATCTTCATCAATTACAAACTCATATACCAAAGCACTGCTATGGTGAACTTTCATAGTTATTGCTGTCAGAGTTTTCTATTATTTTTTTTTTTTGCGATATTTTTTACTGTTCTTTTGTTTGTTTCGATTTTTCTCTATTTTCCGTAAATTGTTAGCAACGACGCCCTGGCGCCCACAAAATAGAAAAATAGAGTCATTCAATAGATAAAAAATAAACAAAAAAATATTTTGAATTGTTAGGGACGCCCACAAGTTAAAAACAAGAGTTGTCAAAAAGACAAATTGTAGATAAAAAAATATTTCAAAGCCGCATTAATAGTGCAAACGTCTCTAGACAACTGTCTACACTGTCCTCGGTGTCTGAGAAAGTCAATCACAACACTTAAGGGACGTTTGTAACACAAAGTAATCTTAAACGACTCCCATTCATTCAAGGTACGTCACCTACATAAACGTGGCTCCTAGAAAGGGATGTTCATTGTGGAAGATAACGTACAAATATTATTATAGGCACAAAAGAAATTTACTTCCTGTTACTGTAACAGTGTTCCACAGCATTATCTCAACAACACAAATCTAAGAGAGCACCTTTGCCGCAACATTGATGTCCTCCAAGCCTTCACTGAGTCTTAATCTTCCTCGTATACCGCAGTGTATTTCTTTTTCAGCCCTTCAATAGCGAGCTTGGCTGCTGTAGCTTTAGCAATCTTCATGTTCGGTCCCTTTCCATTGTACTCTCCCCAGTGCACTCTCAGAGTGCACTGGATCTTACCATCTTCAAGGGTCTTCGCTTTCCTGGAGAAAACGAGAAAAAAAACACGAAAATCTGCTAAATTAAATCGCGCCACAACCGCAGTTCTTTGTAATCTTTCTCAATATCTCCCTATTTCAAGGGATAATGTTGACGATTTCATGTTATGCCACACTATTTTGGCACTCTACACGTGTACATACCCATGTTTTTGGAAAGATCTGCCGCACTCGGCCACAATTTCTCTAAAGACTGCTCCTGCAATCCATAGATGTTGTTCTTGGCAAAAATGCACTCTATTACGCTCTAAAATTATTAACACCTTTGGTGCAGTTAGTCAGAGACGTATGCGGGGAGAGTCAACCAACCATCAAAAATCTTAACCTTGAACTGTACACTCACCCAAAGTCAGCCCTCTCGTCTTTCTCGTAGACATGTCTGACGGGATTTCGCGGTATGTTCACCGAGTAATGGTCTGAATAAAAAACATAAATCAATCAATCTTTCCGGTGTTTTTCACCAGGTTCAGGTTCCTTGTAAACATGTCTGATGGGATTTCGCAATATGTTCACTGAGTAATGATCTGAATTGAAAACTTAATATCAATCAATATTTGTAGTATTTTTTTTCTTGGTTCGTTATTCAACGGCGTTCCTTCTCACTCTGGATTTGAGGGTTGAATGCTTCAACGCCATGCTGAGTATACTTTCTCTGACTCATTCTCACTCCTTTTCCAGCTTATTGCGAGAAAAACAACCTCGGAGCTTTCTACTAATAAGACTTTTCCCAAGAGGTGGGTGGCGATGGCCAACTTACCGATGTAGGGTTTCATCATGCGGTAGTACACACCCCAGGTTTTAGTCAAATCCATACCGCTGTCCAAAAATATCGCGCCTGCTACTGATTCAAAGATGTCACCAAGAACTTTAGGCGCCTCGATTCCTTCTTCTTCCTCCTCAGACACGATAATAAATGGGTCAGCGGTGACCTGCCAAAGACAGACTTTTAATAAATCAACTGGAGAAAATATTCGTTAACGCTTTGGTCCATGAAAATAATTAGCACTTAATTTCTCCTTATTAAAACAGCCCTGGATCACACGTTGAGAATAAAGGAAACGTCTCTATCACCAACTAAAGAGGCTCTTGATTGTTACACAAATTCTCCTTGTCAGCACTTTAGGAAATGTATGGAAGACAGAATGGAGAATAAGAAAACTGATGTAGAGGATTAAAGAATAAAGTTCACCCTACCGTTTGAAGCTGATTATCTTTCCTCTCTTCTGCCTCATCTTCCACTCTGTCAATAAAGTTCTTCACTGTTTGGAACCACTTTGGAGACATATGCTTCAGATACTTGTGGTAGTTGTGTTCTACGGCAAGGGTGGCAAAGATGTTATTGTTCACCAAGGCCTGTCGTATATCGGTCAGTTCCCCTGGTGACAAGTTGACGTGACGGAAGTACAAATGTTGCGTGACCAAAAAGTCCAGCAGGGCATCGCCGAGGAACTCGAGTCTTTCATAACTTGGCGTGACACGGTTTTCGTGGTAAGACGCATGAGTTAGTGCCTCTACCAAATACAACTTTTGTTGGAAAGTGTACGAGATTGATTCGTTTTCAAAGTTTTCCAGGCCAGAAGTGAGGCGGAAAACCATATCTCCTTTACCTTGCGCAACTGTTATTTTTGTCTGATCTTGCCAAAATCTAGCATAGCAACCCGATTTGCTATTCTCCGCCTGCAAATCATTGCCGTCGTTGGTGCCAATTTCAGGTAAAACTTTTAGCCCCAGAAACTTCATAAATCGCAACGCACCAAGGTAACCACAGGATATTAAATACGCTCCGATCAGTCCTTCGATGCTGTCAGCTATGGACTTGTCCGCAATCTTTTGAGTGTTGCATTTCTGGCGCGCATGCTCTGTAGCAGTAAGTTTTGTCTCCTTTCCCCTCTCTAAGGTCTCGTCAACTTCCATTGCCTCGACTGTGTCCCCGCTGTCAACTTCCATGGCTGGGCTACCTGTGGTGCGATTCGGTGGTACGTCGCCAAACTGACATCCCGTAGGACACCAAACGTTGCGAGCCAACTGCGTGCTCTGGAGATACTCGCCCAGAGATTTCTTGGCCGCTGCTCGGTACAACGCTAAATTACTAATCTGGTTTTTCTTACGCCGGGTCAGCTTGCCTTCGTCTTTATCGCTGTATGTGCAGAAGAGATGAATGGACACGGCCAGCTTCAGAAATGAGTCCCCAAGCATCTCCAGCCTCTCCAGATTAAATGCATCTACGCTGTGGGTGGTGGTAATAGCTTGAAGAACGAGAAAGGAGTCGGGGTGGTTAGCAGATGGTGGACTGTAACGGAACATCGACCTGATGTCGGAGAAAAGTGCATCCTCGTCTTCCAGGTCCAAAGCATCGCCTTCAACCTCCATGGGCGCCTCTCTTGAGCCCTCTTCAGCTCCAATGGGAGGGAGAATTGATTCATCTGTTGTGTCGCGTAC